GTTCTGTTAGCATAAAGCAGTTTCTGTTTTGTTCTGTTAGTAAATTCGGTTAGATTCCCCCCTCCCCAATCTAACAACGGTGTTCTAACATTTAGAAAGAATTGAAGAATTCATTTCAGGAAAAATGGAAATTTCTGACCCTTTTAAAATGGAAACACTTTAAAGATGGCTGTCTTTCCAAGTTTAAAAATGCGTAATGTAAACTGCAATTGACAGTGGATGATGCCAGCAAAGATATAAAATACAGTCTCTGGGTTAAGAACACGTAGTTTACGGATGACCCATAGTTAAGAGCCTACTGTAGCAAAATTCAAATTAAATACAAAATGATTTGAGTGAAATACACAATGGTTCGAGTTTATTCACAATACTACTTATACAGTATTATACAATACTACTGTTCCAGCTGTCATACAAACTCAGCTTAAGGACAGACCTTGGGAATGGAATTTGTTCTTAAACTGGGGACTACCTGTAAATCCAAGAACAAGAAGATGGAGTAGACATATCCAAGTTACAGCTGGCACCACTGGAGGAAAAAATGGTATCGTCATTTTTACAGGAATCCAGCATTCTCCAACCTCTATATCAGTGTTTCTCAACCTTGGCAACTTTAAGATGAGTGGACTTCAACTCCCAGAATTCCCCAGCCAGCATGGGTGGCTGGGGAATTCTGGGAGTTCTTAAAGCTGCCAAGATTGAGAAATATTGCTCTATACTGGAGTTTCTGCCGAAAGAAGAAATGAAATGATTTATGGATTTGAAGATTAAGAAAGACGTGGGTTAAATGAGGGGCTGAAGGGACTTGTATAACATCTAAGAAGAGGGAGGAGGGACAATAAGATTATAATTATCTCTTGAAAAGAAAGTTGGAAGGCATTCACATATTTCTTTAGTTCTTTTTCTCTTTTTCGTTTCTTGGACTTTCTTATTTCTTTTGTTGCTTTTTTCCTTTTGATTTGGCTTTTATTCTATGAAAAAAAAATCTGAAATAAACGTATTAAAAAAAAGGGAAACACTGCTCTATATTATCATCCTAAGAACACTGCAAATTTGGTAGGTTAGCAAAGAAAAGTAGTATCTGGCTCAAAGCAACCAACTGATTTTCTTAGTTTACTCTAGTTTTTATCGCTTTTTCAAAACTCTGCACTGCAAGGTACTTTGATGTTATCTAGGATATGGCAGGGGGAGTATTTTATGCATGAAAGTATTACAATATTATCCATGACATTATGGGGTAAACATTTTATAAATATTGTCTAGTCTCTAAAATCCAACTGAAGCACTCTATCCTAGATGCCCTATTCAGAAACGGAGGTCGAGGGGTGTCATAATCCAAGGAACGTAAATGTTCAACAGTTCTTATCAAAATGTTCAGTACGCTTTGAAAAGTTGAGGCTTGGCCCGAGGAGGAACTGAAAAGCAGAGGGAGGGTCTAAACAAACTGGACAATCCTCTGAGCGAAAGCAAGCAGATGAATTCAGGGGCTCAATGGGATTACACCAAAGGGAGAGAAACCGTTGCTCCTACCCTCCTTAATGATCAACATCCGCATCTTCGAACTGTCCCGTGACTGCTGGTGCCGCATCCACTTCCATCCCGTCTGAAAGCAAAAACAGCAACAGGCTGGAGATACCACACGAACGGAACAGGCCATTGACACAAGGTACCTTGGGACGCCAAGGGAAAGCGACGGGAATGCTTTTTGTAAGAGCGCTCAGCAAACACAGCTCTCTGAGCTGTAGACCACACCAGTGAAAATGGAGAACGTAAAGCAATAAAATAAAATGATTGTTGGAGACGGTATCCCATCAAGAACACGCGGGAGCATAGCAGCTTATCACAGATCAATCCAAGCAATCTCGGCCATCGAAAGGAAAGATTCCTGCGCAGCAAAGGGTCCAGAATGAAAAGTTCTGGCTAAAGACAAATATGATACAATCCTTGGGAGTTCAGACTTACTAATTTTGAAGCACAGGAAGGTGGGAGTCAGTCATTAGCCTTTTTAAAAGGCTGAGAGAGAAACAGCAGAGTCTCATTCTCTGGCAAAGTTTATGGTTGAAGGGTTGGGTGCTTCTGTTTGGTCATGGCCTGTCTTATCATAACTCCAGGGGACTGGAGAGGGTGACTGGCCGAAAGTCACCCAGCCAGCTTTCATGCCAGAGGGAGGCCTAGAGCTCACCATCTCCTGCTTTCTAGGCCAGGACCTTCGCCACTACACCACACTGGCTCTCTTTACTATTTAAATACTATTTAATAGCATGTAATAGTAAACACTATTTACTATTTACCATTACTAGTAAAAGTCAGTAAATGTAAAAGTACGTCAACATGGAGATTCTAGATCAGTTGTCTCATGATATCATCACACAAACAATGCCCACTGATGCCAATGGTGTAATCTGTGCTGTTTTCGTAACGATGTCATTGTGCACATTGCACCACTTGAGTCACAGCACTGTCGTGCCAGTGACAGAATTTGATCCACTGTGAGTAAAGCCCATTGCATCAAGGTAAGGCAAGATTTCACTGCACTTGAAATCCAACAGGTGAGAACTCCCAGCACATATGACACCATCTGACTATTCTGTGCAAAATAAAGTCCTATGTTCCCAGCATCTTCCTTTTGTCCCCTGGAGCAGGTTGATCCAAATGTTCTGAGTGTGTTGGCCCTGAAACATCTGGAACAGCACAAAGCACTTCCTGATCTGGAACTTCCAGAAGCCAATAACTGGCCCCAGATCTGTCTGTTTCGGAAGCAAAACAGAATATTCCAAGGACAGAAGATCTTGCACATCCCTGTAACTAACTGCCTGAATCCTCCAAAAAGTGTGGTTCTATTAATTTCGAGGCCACCTGACTCCACAATATTCTGGGTGGCTTACAGATTAAAAAATACATAGACAAAAACACACAGCCAACTTGGAGAGCAGGACACCAGGTATAGATGGTTCTGCCGGCTTAAATCCCGACTGGAGACTGCCTTCAAAAAATCCCAACCTTTGTCACGAAACCCTGCAAGATGAATTCATACCTTCAAATTCCCTGAGAGAATCTTCCGTTCGTACGCCAGCCATGTGGTACTGAGTGCTTATAGACTGGGCCAGCATACCTTCCAATCTCTCCAAGGTAGCCTGACCCTCGGCCGTTAAATGTGACAAGCCTTCTTCATACGTGTAGAAAGAGGGGATATCACCTTGACCGATTTCTGTGCCAAGAACAAAATCCAAAATGCATTTTAGCCTTAGAGTTAATATCACCGTGCCTGGACAAAACCGCTGGACACAGGCAGTTGTTTGATTTCCTTCCAAGGAACAAGCTGATATTCTGTACTGCAAACTGGAATCAGGCAATTACAGTACATGTGAACGACTGTTAGAATTTAACCTGTCTTCCTTGAAACCAAGGCTCTTTCTAGTTTTAGATTTAGAGATGCAGTCTTGTTCCAGCTGCTTGATGTGCTGATTTTAACTCTACTACACTCTGAACAGTCTTGTCTGCTAAACCGAAACAATGAATAAATCCACTACTGATTTTTCCAGCAGATCAAACACAAGACTAAAACACAATGCAATTTAAGACAGCTGCAAGTAAGTTTGGCATCATGCAGCACAGAAAGTAAAAAATGCACAAATGAAACTAAATCCTAGCTTATTTTTTTTGGTACAAGGTCCCAGGATCATGGGATCACAGCGGGGCTTTGTGGAATGATATGAAACATGCATGGTATTCTTTATATCATTTATTCTGTACATATATATCCTCATTCTTCATTCTAGTCTGTATATGTCTCCTAGTCTGGTCTCTCCAAATCCTACTATGTGTGCTGTATAACCTTCTAATACCAGCTGGCCGGAAGAAGGAACATAATAATTATAGAAGAATACAGACAAAACCACCACTTGGCACCATTGACAGCTGTCAAGTTGAAATAAACTAAAGGAAACCTCTATTTATCGTGATTGCCTAAGCAGTACTAATAATCAAGGCTCAATTCCCTTGAGAAATGAACTGGCACATCAAAACAAGAGGGAAAGGCACAAGGCCACAACAAAACTTTTTGTGGGAATCAGCAGAGATACCATGGTCTGCCTATAAATATAAAACATAGAACACGGAATTGAAAAGCTGAGATTTTTCCCAAAATAACTCTTTGGAGTCTTGGACCTTTCATTAGCGGGGGAGAATGGCACTCTCAATTTCTCTCTATTTATCCTCCTTTACTGGTATGAACTTTTGTGGGCATGTAAATGGGGAGGGGGTTGTGTGCGTGTGTATGATAATAAAGTAATTAGAAGACTAACTGACTGTGCTCTTGGTTTGTTTGGTGAGAGCTTCACTGGCTATGGCAGTGTTTCCCAACCTTGGCAACTTTAAGATGTATGGGCTTCAACTCCAAAAATTCCTCAACCAGCTTTTAACAGTGGCTACAGAAAGTCCATAGGTGGTTTCTGACGCAACAGCCATTTGCTTCCGGCTCTGGGGATCCATCTATAATTCTAGAATCAGATCAGTCAGTGGATCTAAAGCAGCATTTTTCAAACTTGGCATCTTCAAGATGTATAGACTTCCACTCCCAGAATTCCCCAGCCAGCAAGTTGCCAAGTTTGAAAAACACAGATCTAAAGAGAGCTGAAATGAAAGCCACTGCTGTGATGATCAGAATGCTCTAAGCTTGAAATATACAGAATTGTTGAAACAAAAATACTGCTTTCCAAGAACTACTTCAATAAGGTGCAACTAACACTGTAAAATGTTTAATAACCTTCTGATACTTAACGAATGATGCTGCGATTGCTGCAAATCATAATAAGACATAGAAAGGAAACCAAGATGTATGTGTAACCAACAGCTACTAGTTCACAATGATTAGCCAATTGACTTTTTGGGGGGGGGGGTTAACATGGCCCAATGTGGATCAAGACCAATGGAAAATTATGGCAGATCATGCAAATCAAGCCGCACTCACCGTGAGCCTCCACGTCATATTCCTCACCATCGTAATTGTTATCTGAGTCTTCATCTTCTGGGTCAGGATGCAGGGCTTGGCATTCACACATGGCAGAGAACATGGCTTCCACTAGGTAAAACACAAGTGCAACATTTGCTCACTCAATGACTGCCCCGTGAAGGTGTTTTTTTTAAACAGGGTCAGGTTGTTAAACCATCTGATCCTTTACTGACAGCATCAACCTCTCACTTCCCAGGCAGAAATTCTTTTGGTCTATGGCTCACTATGCTTTCCCTTGGGAACATCAAGGTCTAAACGGTTTGAACAAGAAACAGGATTGCCATTCTGCAGGCTAAAAGAGCTGCAGAAAAGCTGACTGAATTTTTGTTGTGTTGACCAACAGAACTCCTTGCTCAAGAAGTAAGGGACCTGTTCAGTGCAGAAAAGCTTCATTTTGGCCATAAAGAAGTTACCTTACTCTGCACAGGAAACCTCTTCATGGCCAGAATGCAGCTTTTCCACACTCAATCCACACTGAGTCATGAAAGCAGAGCGAGCACACCAGTTTCTTGACAATTGGGCAACTTTGCTAGCATAAAGACAACAGCCCCCAGAGTTTGATTTCCAGAGTCTGATTCCAAGCAAAAGGGATCTTTATGACCCCCCTTATAATGGCTGCAGTAAGAAATGGAAGTGGAGTCTAGCTTAGGAATAAAGTACAGATGCCCGGACTGTAATGCAGAGAGCACACATGCAGAATTCTCTAAAAGAGAACCCGTCACAAGCAAGGCAAGTACAATGTAACCTGCATGGTGAGCAAGAGTTAGTAGGGAGCATTCTGTCTGGCTAAAAGTTACAAGAAATCAGTCCATCTGCTATCACAAGGTATCCTTCAAATCCCTGGTCTAATCGACTGAGCTAAGATTCGCCCTAAGACTCCTCTTGGCCTCAGCATCCCAAATGAAAAAGCTTTTCTTCTTGGTCTTTGATAGTTAGAAGTTCAAGCTTTGCCACCAGCTCCGTAATGTTAGAGCTGAGCACTCAGAGCCATGACAAATGGCCACCACAGCCCACCTTGGGCCAGGCAACTGATTGACTTGGAAGAAGAGCAGAGGTGCTTGGTGACAATGGAGAAGATCTGAGCCATGAACGCCAAGAGGTGGGCAAGCAGAGAGGACAAAGGAAGCAAAGGGGAGAAGATTGTGCAAGACCAGGCCAAGCAATACAGCTGGTAAGGGCAACTGGGCCACAGAGTCCCCATAGAGCAGGAGCAGCACCATCCAGAGAAGACATCATTTTACATGACATACTTGCCCCGTGGGCTTAACATCTATGAAGAAAGAGGACATATCCAAAAGTTACAGTGTTTGAGTGCCAGTCAGACAGCATTATTCTGAAAAAAGAAGAAACAGATGTAGAGGCTTGGCTCCCTCCCTAACCTCACCCAGGATATATCCTCCATGCCAATACTGGTGTGATCCTGGTTTCTCATCTTTTTTTCTACTTACACGCTGATTTGTCGCTGGGTACAAATCGGAATTCTGAGATCGGCTCAAACTCATCATCACTCTCTTCCTCTTCATCCTCCGCTACGGGACTTTCTTTGGATTCTTCTACTAAAAAATAAAAAATGAAGATGCACATTAAGGAACCTGGCATTTCTGCCTCACTTCTCCAACGAACTAGGACCACCTTGGGTCTTCTGCCATCATTTCCAGCTAACATAGCCAATGGTCAGAGATAACAGGAACTGAAATTCAATAGCTAAGGTGTAGCTTACACAACTTTTGTTTGCAATGTAAGACTCAGAAAATCTGTCTACCGGCACTTTTAAAAGATGCTAAGGAAACTGAAATTCAGAGGAAACGTCAAATCCCATGACTTATTATTTGGCACCTAAGAATCACAGCTCTGAATTTTATTGCTATTTTATTTATTATATTTTTATTTTACAGGACTTGCAGGCTGTTCCAATTAGACCCAGCTCTGAATGACGAACCGACTGTTGTCCTATGCCATCCCAAATGTCCATTGCCTACACAGTGGTAGCCAGTTAGGGGAAAAAAAGTTTTCCAGCCTTCCTTCTAGTCTCCCTTAAGGGGAAAGGGAAACTCAAGAGAATAAATGACTAGAAAAATTGTGTTTCCCCAAGTCTCTGCTGTATCACTGGAAGCTCAGCAGTTTATGAGAATCAGAACCATCAACACCCAACCTACCCCTGCATTTCTCAGGAAGTCTTCAACAACAAGCTGTTTTCCCAGTCCAAAATATCATTCATTTCACTAGCCTAGGAAGCTTTTGATCGTGACATTAAGACGTAGGCTGACATTCTTTATATAACAGCTTTACCTTATTTTCTTCTATATCCTTTCATTCAATGTGTATTCTTTCATTGTGGCTACCCAAAGTAGGTTAAAAGGAAAACATGAAAAGAGCTGAGAACTGTAGATTACAATCTTTCCCGGGCCTTGGAGTCAGGAAGATCTGAGACCCCAACTGATGAAGGTTTCAGTTCTAATTGCCATTTTACTGGTTTAGTATGTTTTAATGAAATTGGTTGATTTTATATTGATTTGATTATGGTTTTCTCTTCTTGTTTGTTTGCCACCCAGAGTTGCAGGGCTGGTTTGGGTGGCCATATAATTGCGTTAAACCTAAATTAATAAACCATTAATTGATGCCTCTTAGAACTGATAAGTGGAAGGGACTAAAGATAATATTTATCTGACTGCACGGCCAGTGGAAGAGAAGGACCACTTCTCCACTTTTCTTCCTTTTTGGTAGATGTGCATTTGAACGTTGATTATGAGAGTCAAAACCATCAACACCCAACCTCCCTGCACATTTCTCAGGAAGTCTTCAACAACAAGCTATGCTCCCAGTCCAAAATGCCATTTATTTCACTAGCCTAGGAAGCTTTCGATAGTGACATTAAGTCTGTGCCACTTTTGACAGTGAAAAGAAGCGTGTGCATGTGTTTGTAGAAGATGGCTCTAATAAGGTAGCTAGAAAACAATTGATTATGCTCCTGGCTTGTTTGTGGATCCTCAATATCTATGCTCATTCATTCATTCATTCATTCATTCATTCATTCATTCATTCATTCATTCATTCATTCGATTTGTGACTCTGGGTGGCTCACAACAATTGAAAACAACAATCAAACACAATAAAAATATAAATAAATGCAACAAACATACAACCATATTAAAATCACCATTAAAAGCTCATAAACACAACCAGCAGGTTAATACAACCATACATCTGATTCAGTACAACTATTGAAAAGGGTAATCCGTACTATCAGACCCTCAGGGACAATGACAAAGCCACGCTTCTGTGCCCTCCTATTATGCATGTAAGTTCTTATAACTATGCCACCTTCTTACCTTCAAACTTTGCATTGACCATGACGTACAAATGTTCCCACGGGTAGGCATTCAGGTCCCTGGAGATGGCATGTAAGCTTATGATGGGATAGTCCAATGAGAACCCAAGGCCTGAATTCGCTATCCATGACAGCCGACTGAAAAATACAAAACGACAAAACAAAGTTACAACTCAAGCGATGAGAGCAGAATTTAATTTAGTAAACATCCCTCTTTGTAAACATGCATACAGTGGCCCAACGATGTCTTAGGAAAATAAAAAGTGTAGAGCCATTTCAGCCTAATAGGTAAGGGCAATTTCCACCTGGATATAGAGGTGAATTCCTCAGAAAAAGAACAACTCTCCAGTAGATGAAAACCCTTTTTACAGGATATGCTAATATACTGACTTTTGGCAGGAAGAAGCTAAAAGCCAACTCCACGTAAATTGTATTAGTTCTGTACAATGTCTTCTATGGGACCCACATCAAATCAAGATCACATCCATCTGCACAGAATGAATGAAATTTTACAGTAATGAATCAGATGATTTATCACTGTAATGTAAAGGTACAGATCTTCATGGATTCTTGCAGATTTTACACCAAACAACTGTTAAATCATAGTTTACATCTATCTGCACTGAATGAGTCATAACAATGATATATGTGATTATTTTTTTAAGCTGCTATGGAGCAAAGTCTGGATCCAAGACACAAATTCTAATGGATACAGGAGGCAGGAGTATTATGTATATTCGCCACCTTGAGTTGACACACACAGACACATATATAAACAAGGCAGGATAAAAATAATAAAAATGTTATCCACCTGAAACCACCATCAAACCACAGACTGTAACCATCTATGCAGAATGAGCCGTAACAATGATGGACTTGGCAGTTTTTGGCTCTGTCATGGCACAACAGCCAGGATCTCAGGCACACCTTTAGACATGTTTGCAGATATATCATCAGATCAGTTATTGCCATCATATATACTGTACCTTGAAGGCAGGTGCAGTCTGTGTTTCAATGCCGATTACAGGGGGACACTTTCAGATATGTGGATTTCAACTCCCAGAATTCCCCAGCCAGCACGGGGGATTCTGGGGGTTGAAGTCCATACGTCTTAAAGCGGCCAAGTTTGAAAAACTCTGGGTTAAACCGTAAGGATCTATTCCTCAGATCCACGCGTTTGCAGCAGGACGGGGCCAGGACCTTCACATCTTGTTACAATTATTGTCATTATCTGCAGATGAATGCAGTTAGTAGATGGGGTCCAGGTGAAAGCGGCATCCGCAGGGGTCCGTTATTACTCAGATCGCGGAGGCTGCAATTATACCGCGGCAGCGAACCCCCTGCCGGCCGGAGATTCTGAGCGCTGCAGGCCCGGCGTCTGAAGGCCGCAGACTGGGCCCACAGGCCCGGCCTCGGCCTCGGGTGCTCTGCCTCGGGGTGCTTCTCCGCCCCTCCGGGGGCGGGGAGTTCCGCAGGCGTCCTCGGCTAGCCCCGGTAGGCGGACGCCCTCACCTCTCCGCGATGTACAGGCTGCCGGTGCCCAGGCCGCGTCCCCCGGGCACGGCCTCCGTATCGGGCTGCCGCAGCCGGATCCCCTCACTCGGCTCCGGGATGCGCTTCAAGAAGCTCATGGCGAGCGCGGGCCTTCCGCACCTGCGAGCCGCCGAGACAGGAAGTACAACCCGCCAAGGCTGACCCGCGAAGTTCGCCGTTTCCTTTCGCCGTCACCATAGAGCGGAGAGCGCCCCGCGCGCGCATGGCTGTCACCATAGAGACTAGAGTACGACGCTCCCCGGCGGCTATTGTGGTGGGGTCATGTGACCTCCTCCTGCCTGCCAGGCGGCCGCCGCGCTGAATCCGAAAGTTTGCTAATGTTTCTTTGCAAAGCGCGGAGCGCGGAACGCTCGAAAAAAAAAAAAGAGGGATTGGAAATCGTGGGGATACTTGCACGGAGGCCTAATTAGGGCTCCCCACGCTAGAACCACCCTAAAAGTCGGGGGGCATCCCCGCCCCACCAAAATAGGAGACAACTCACGTGCCCGGTTTTTTTTTTTTTAAGGCTTCCAACAGCTGCCAAAACATTCAGATAAAGGCGGGGGGGGAAGGAAAATCCGATTTTTTTCAGTCCTGGCAGGCCTGGGGCTGCTTTCAAGTATGCAAAATGAAGAGGGGAAGGAAGAGCTGCGACGGCTTTGGGAAAGGGGAAAAGTCCCGGGGCTCAGCTGGTTTTTGGAACAGGCAGGCAAAGCAGCAGACCGGATTTAAGGTGAGGGCTTTTAAGGTTGAATAAAGCAGGTTGGTGTGGCGCAGGCGCCGTGTCCCCCTCGCTGCACTTTTCTCCAAGGACACCTTTCGGGAAAAGGATGCCTCTATAGCCCTGTATGCACATACATACTGGTTTCCAGTTGTAAGCCGCTCAGAGCAATTTGGGAGTCGATAAAATAAATAAATAAATAAGGCGAGCAGCCCGAACTGAGTGAAACGCCATCCCGACCTAAAGGGCGTTTTAGTTCATCGTGCGCTAACCCCTCAGCTCAGGGAAGCGAAAAGCACCCTTTGCAGCTTGAGCGGTTGCGCCATGGATGAATTTTGCGCCATCGCGGCAGCGTCGACTGGCAGCCACCGCATTGTTAGACCTCCAGGATGATCTGCCCTCCGCCGGCCTTTTAGCCTCTCAATGGGGCCGCCATCGTTCAAGTCCATCCGCCTTGCTGCTGGCCATCCTCTTCCGCCTTCATGTGCGTAAGTATGAATCGTGTACGACATGCTCAAGAAGAAAACATCACTGAAATAGGCATTACATCTCTTTCAAAATACTGAGAATGGTCAGACTTCATGTTTGGAAGGAGTACAGGCCTAGGGATTCCCAGTTAATCATCCTCGTCCCTTTTAAATTTAAAATCTTTGGTCACGTTGCATCCAAAACTTATTCAGCAGCGGATCTTTTAATTCTATTGCTTCCTCTTCTGCTGATTTAAAAAAAGAAAAAGAACTGCAACGCTATTAACTTCCCCACTGCCAATTTTGCACTATCTGCAAATGGGATCAAGCAGCGGCCTTTTACGAAAAGATGTCAAAGCAGACGAGAGGATGCCCTTACGTCTTCTCCGATACGTACTCGGTGCGTCAGCTTATTTAAATGTTTTTTTTATTATGACAATTTACATGTCATATTTATATGAAAGAAATGACAGTAGATATTATAAACAAAAACATTATGAAAGAAAAAAAGTTACACAATTAGGCCTCCGAGCTATAAAAAAAGGCTGTAGGCCCAGCTTATACACTAAGAGTTCCGACCAGACCATAGTGAGACAACATTGAACATTTCATTAACAAAAATATTGGCACCAGCCGTAACATTTTTTTTTAAACTTCATTTACAAGGAATACAGTATTTAAACAGTCATGTACTGCAAAGCTAAAAACACCAGCTGTTAGTCAACTGCAGTTAACCACTTTGAGTGCTGAGGGAAGTAGGACGTTCCAGGTCAAGTTAAAAAGTTCCATGCAAGTGAGTTTACTGGTATGGGGAGAAAACAAAAAAAAAATGGTAATAAAGCAAGCCCAAAGTTATGTACAAGTATGAAGATACGTCCAGTTCTCTCCCCATAATAATCTATTTCTCTCTCCAAACGTCCACTTCAAATGCAACATTTCAAAAACCAAGCAAAATGAAACATCCACATGAAAGAATCACGTAGGAAGTTTATGCCCTCACAGTAGGACACCACACACACACCTGCAGATGGAAAACTGCACATCAGCTTCCTAATCAGCCTCAAGCAACCTCAGAAAGACGCATTAAAACCCTGGGGTGAGTTTGCATTCACAGCTTCTTGTCTGACATGAAGCTGTAAGCATACACCCTGTGCACAAAATCCAGAATCTATTGCCCTTCGAAATATAACCAATTTATAATTTTATTTAAAGAAAAACAGGCCACAAGTTGTAAAAGTTTTTGATAGGGCTTAGCAAATGTTCTTAAGGGATTTGATGGAGTTACTGCCTTTTGGAGAGGATAATGACTCAACTGAGGATAAGACAGAAGGTTCAAAAACCAGCTATGCGCTATTATTATTCAGTCTCGGGTGTGCAACCAATGTGTTTCCCTGCCTCCCTGCTTTGTTGCTGTCACTGCTTAGTAATGGGTGCACTGATGAACCCTGCGGGGTGCAGGTTAGACTTGACGATCTCTGAGGCTCCTTCCCACTCTACGATTCGGCCATCCTGGTGGGGCTTACGGACTGAAATCAAGATTTAAGAACAGTTCCAAAGGGAGAGTGAGGGAATCTATGCCGATGGCCAAACTCAAATTCTAATTTAGGACAAGAGCACTGCTAGGCGAGGAAATATTCTGCCAAGCTGCTCACGGTAAAAATGCTCCTGGGAATGCAGAACTGTGCGTGTAGTGTAACTGTCACAGAGGGGAGGAAGAGGACAGAAACTGAACTCCTTCCTATAGACAGGAAGCACTTGCCCCAGAAAACTGGGGGGGGGGCATGCCCCCCCAGAGAACAGAAAAAAGCAAGCCCAGATTAAGACCCCCAGTAGTGCAATTGGATATAGGCTAAATACAAGTAATGTTGAGAATGCAACATTTTCTTTTCCTCAAATGCCAGCAAAAGAACGATTCCTGAAGCAGAATTACTAGGCTGTGTAGAAAAGCAACGGTGGGCCAACCTGTCCCATTATGGAACCAGCCAACTTTAACCCTAAGGTCTACCCCCGTCCCAGCCCCGAGCAAACTGCATGTGTCAGAAGACCGAAACCGGTACCCTGCATCCCTAAACAAAACGTCTGTGCCCCATGTCCCTAAACACATTAAGTTTTAATACACATTAGGGATAGAAATACATTCTAAAACGTCCCATACGTGAGATGAGGGCAAGACTGGCTAAATCACAAAGCCTTTTCCACAAAGACTGGCACTTCTTTTTGTTAATAAATGACCAGTGAACTGTGACGCCTTTCGAGACCTGTTAAATGGAATACGGGCCACATCCTTTGAAAAATCAACAGTGAGGTTGGCCTGGTGGAGCTTACCAGAAACAAACAGTGCTCCAACAGGGCTAACCGCCCCCCCCAGTCTTTCCTTGGAGTGCACCCCGATATTCTGTCTGGAAAAATCCACCCAGCATCCACTGTCACGTGTGCAATCGTAAAAGAATTAACAATGTCCATCACACAACGGGATTCATCCCTGCCACCTGAAAACTGAAATTCAGAGGTAGGATACGCTGCTTTAAAAAGCTCTCCCATCACAGTTGCAGGGGGAAAAGATTAAACAGGCAGTAAACAAGGGGCTATCGAATGCCTACCCCATCCAGACAGGTCCATTCACAAAGAAGAGCAGCCAATGGCGAAAACTAGATCATGCTGTGTTATTTCAAACCCTTGTCTGCTTCTCTTTGCGGGATCTTGAATATGTCACCGGGGATGACGTTCCCCTCCCCTCCCACTGGCTACCTAGAGATCATCCAATGTCTTCCATAAAATTAAAATGGGATTGGGGAGGGGAGAGGCGGGAGAGGAAGGAAGAAAAATAAGTGACCTAATGGGGCTTAGAAAGTCTGGGCGAAGAAGACGGCCGCACCGGCTTGCTCTCCCTATAGAGAGCAGAGGCCAACTGAAGAGCAGTGGGTGGCTTTCAACAGCAGAGGAGAAATGGAGAAGTCTGTGAAACCTGAACTTTCAAGAAAGGAAGAGGAATGTAAAGATGAGGAATTTCTGCACCAGGAAGGAGTGTGCCTAGACCAGTATTTTTCAACCTTGTCAACTTTAAGATGTCTGGACTTCAACTCCCAGAATTCCCCAG